AACCGTATGCGGCTTTCCCCGAGGGTGCAATTTTCCGTGTACGCAATTCTGGCGTACGATTTTGATTGCACGCAATTTTCATGTAGGCTTTCATCATGGAACCGGTTAAGATATAGATGGGAAGTAAAACGAACAAGGAAAAATATTACACAAAAGCTCAACAATTCAACCAGGTAATAGGCAAGTGACTGAGTAACCGTGTCAGTTGGTCAAGATCGTTGTAGCGGATGCATGTACCGTATTTGTACAGGAATTCCGGCTTCAAATGACTCGGCAACTTCACACATTTACACAAGATTTTCGGAAATTTTGCTCAAGTATTGCTTCAAAGTACACTGGATATTCAGTTCACCAGTGGTGAAATGTACAGGCAAATTAATGGAGTGGCCATGGAAGATGTTTTGGGTCCTGTGGTAGTAGCTGTCGAGCGGGCAGTGATGATGCCGGGCCGACCATTTGCTTGCTCGAGTCGATAGCTCTAAATCGATGATAGCAAGTGGATACTTAGTCTAGACTGGAGAGTACAGTACTAGAGTATTGACCGGATGCAATTAGCCCATTTGTGGCTGACTCTAATCGATGGGAGGCGCAAAATGAGCTTGTGTTTTCCAAAAGTACAGAATGCTGATCGAGGCCCAGACTTGGTTTTCGATGCACGGTGTGCCATTACGACAGAGCACCTACTGGTAAATTCAGAACACGGCCCACTTAGAACGTACATCAGCGTCATGCTGATGACACATTCGTAAACTACAAATCGGAAACACATGAGGTGCAGTAGTTGCAAGACTTTAATGAACGCATGAGATTCTCCCTTACACTTGGGAACATGAGTTCGGAAACCAATTACCCTTTCTGCATGTAGACCTTATCCGTAAAAGTGACGGATCTAGCAGCTGTAAAGTGCACAGAGACTATACATGGACCGGGAAATACACGAACTTCTCTAGAGCAGTGTCGTCACAAAACAAGAAAAGTTTGGTCTGATCTCTCGCCTTCAGGGCACGCAGTGTTTGCACACAGGATACCGTCAACGGAGAATTGAAGAGAATCAGCGACGTCTTGCGAGAAAATGGCTACTCCCCACAAATGTATCACAAAGCATTTGAGGGGACGCAAACGAAAGCCCCATAGGAGCAATGTTCCCAAGAAGGAGGTGTTTATGTACATACCATTCAAGGGCGATTCTGCTGAGGACGTCCTATCCAGAGGCATAAAAGATGCTGTTGAGAGAAGTAGTTTCGAGGCCCGCTTGATAATTATTTCCCATAACAAGCCATTGCTTGAACTCTCTTGAGAGATGGACTACTCTCGTTGACTCGTTCAACGCTTGAGCACCTGGAATGCAGGATACGTGGGTCGCACTATGAGGCGCCTATCTCGGAGGACTTGCAAGCTCATCACGACGCGTGTTACAAAGGGGAAATCTGACCCTGAGACAGCCCTAGTACGTCATACCTCCTAGATTTTGGCCACACATCTTCTGGGAATGACTTCAAAGCCAAATTGTATGAACATTTCGCGCAGGGCTCCTCACGCAGTTCCTGTCCATTGCCGAGGCTATATTTCGCCGTTTGAAACCGAAATCGTGCACAAACATGGCACATACATCCACTATAACTAACTTGAGCAACGGATACTGTTATTTAATCATTTGCTTGTTACGTGAACTGATTACGTTGGGTTGGCGAGCTTACATGCAACACTTTTTCCTTGTTCGCTTTACCTACCATCTATATACTAGCCTTTAGCTATCGATTTGACTGCTCAACTAAGTTAAAAATAAAGTTCCCAACCCGATTTGACGCTTACAACACATGAAGTCTAGCATGTAAACGTTGGGGTCTGATGAGAGTTTACGTGAAGAGTTTTCATTGTTCATTTTGAGTCCTGATTTTTATCAATTAACTGAACGCTCGGAAGGTTCCGACAGGGCTTGAATCCATGGAAGAGGTATGGTGGTGTACGATTTGTAAGCACTTACAATCATTGACCATCTGTGGACCACTGCGATGTAGTGATCAAGGATATTCAGGAGTGTGATTTAAATACATTCGATAAGGTAAAGTCTAGTCCCATGACGTTGTTATTCAAAAATTTCACAGTTGCATAGGATGCAGCCGTCTTCCGTGACGAGGTAGTATGGATGGATTATTTCAGTGATTAGACATCTCGGATATATCGCGGTTACAGAGCAGGTGGCGTTATTACATTCATTAACTCTTTTCGCTGGGTGGGGTGGGTCAAAGCAGCTGAATCTACCGTACCTCGGCGTACACGGATCAGAGTTGGCAAGCTGAGCCGAATTGAAGTGGATAAGGTTCGAAGGCGCGTTAATTAACATCTAATCTCAGGTCCCCAACGATTGGATGAACGGCGCACGTGCCCAACTCGACCGCGTTCTCCAGCCCTAAGAATTAAGATGTGCTTACCAAATGAATGTTCGTCAGTGGTGTCGGAGATCGAGGATGTTAACCCAGGTTGCAATAAACAGTAGACGTCAGACTCTTCCGATATGAAGAGGATTGATACGCATCCAACCGCCATCGACTCCGAGTTTGTTTGTACTTGAAAAGGAGCTGATTGTGTTCACCCGGACTACTCACAAGAATTATAGCCACTGGACCAGGGATCCTGTCTTGGGTTAGATAGATAAATCCTATCTCAACAGTATCCGAAGGTGAGCGTTCGTGGCTCCTTCTCTGATCTAATGGAAGTAACGTGCTCACTCCTCGTATATACCGCAAATTATCTAGACAGCAGACGATCCCATGGCAATGCAATGACACATGGACAGGCCTTACAGCCGATCGATATAGAGTACGCTTAAACTTAACATGATCAAGTATGATGAGTACACGTCACCAGAACACTGACGGAGAGCCGCGACTGCAATACGTTCGCACTGAAATCGATGTCGGATTGTCCGTGTAAGATGACAGCTTGCACAAGACAACCCCGTAAAGCGTATAGAACTCGTCACCAGTAGACGTCCAAAGGAGGAAATTCCGCCCTTCCCACAAACGCACAAGGCCTGTGTGAAGTACACTACGCAATCCTAGTCTGCTGCCTTAGCAGAAAAACCGTCCATATGCGTCGCAATATACCACTATGGATTTGGATGTCAGAATGAGTGAACTGGTCTCCCCCACCACCGGCGTGGAAAGTACGAGCTGTATATTTGCGACGATTCGATGCAAGATGGACACGTACCGTGAGAAGTCTGAGTGCATGATGGTGAGCAATATAACAGCTGCGCTCGAACCAAAGCTGACAATGTCGTGACCTAGGGATTGCTTCGTCTCTCCTCTCTTCAAGCTCGCGATTGAAATGGCAGTGAACGAGTAACCTGGTCATCAACCTCTTCCGGGATACAGGTTTTGTTAAGTGACCGACTGGTAAACCTACGGTAAACGGATAACACGGCTTTCTCTGCACTGGATACGGTGGGCATCAGCAATATGCAGACACGCCGTCACGCGTGCGCCCAGCATACTGCGAAGTCTCCCGCACCTACATAGAATCGAGTCGTTGACCTTCGGATTACAAACCAGATGTCTTAACTCCTCGGCCGCCGGTCAAATACATTGGTGCATACAGCTGTGCACATCGCATTGCAGTCATCACAAATGCTCGAAGCAGCATAGCTGGCTAAGCTTATTTTCATGTCACTGAAGAGGTAATCGTAAGCATCTTTAAGCTCGTTAAAATTCAGTCAACCATAAAAGAGAGTTGGGTACAGGATCGCTGTGCAGCAAAGGTTTACTGAACAGCAACGCCATCAGCGGTACCGTGCGTATAATACGCACAGTTACCGCGGACTGGAGGCGCTAGCAGACAGCCGTGTTTGCCTACGAAGTAATGCGCAATTGGTGCTCGATGACGGAGCGTCGGTGGAAACACCGGGTGAGCAAGATAAATAAAAATAAATCGCCAGCTGTACACCGAAAGGGCGCTTCGCTGCCACGCGACCATCACTGGTCGCGCGTGGGCTGAGTATACCGCGAGGACGCCAGCCTCTACGCGGATTCGAACCGGAGATCTTATGGTTACAAACCAGACGCGCATACTACCCGGCCACCGGCCGGTCCGTCAGTTGGTTTGGACAAGAAGCCTTCAGGCGCCCCAGTTGAGTGATTATTGAATCGTAACCGCACTTCGGTGCCCCAATCGGTTGTTCAACTAAAGTGAACGGAATTGGAACGTCGGCCGAACCCGAATCGTTTATGATAGCTAGGCTGTGTGCAAGTAGGGTGTCTCGATGCGTTCTACTTGCCGGTTCGATGCATGTCATCTTTTGTATGCGGATAACGCCAATGGTTAGATACATTGCCATACGCGGCACAGCTACGTCAGTCGTGTTCTAGCATTCGCTCTCATTTGCATCACTAAGTAATTTTATTTGAGTATGTTACTGAACGATTGCGAAACCTGGCCCATCAAGTCGACAGACACAAAGAGGTCACCTACATTCGATCATCGTCGTCTCCGCAGCTTAACTTATCTCTAGCGGGAGCACCGGACCTGTTAGGCATTGTGTATTTGGTGTAGGAAGAACGAGTGACCCGCTCAGAACCGTTATTTCACGCACCTAGCTTCGATGACTGGGCCATGTGTTGCACATGCCAGCACATTGACTCCCACGATGTGCGTTGCTTGCTCGCCGGGGGTGTGGATAGAGGAGACCGAGCGACGATTTGCTCAATAAGAATGAAATCCTTCACTTCGAAGTTGGCGTCGGTTGGTACAATGGAAACAAGCCGACCTCAGTGGCTTTGAAGTTTTTTTCGTTCCTTCCCATCTATCTTCCGTCTTCAACCACCGCCTTTCACCTGAAGTACAAGCATTGTCACTTGTTTTCCATATGATATAATGCTTAACGTGTCGCTTTTTCGTATATCTTATCTTTATGTATAGTGGCACAAGTTGAAGGGTTTCTCACCTTTAGCTAATGTATAATGATGATGAGGAGCTGTTATTTCGGACACAAAGCTATTTTAGTCGAGAATCTTATTTTTCGGTGAAGTATTATTGAATGACCATGGGTCATCAACAGTACAAATGTTTGGTAATATAATATGACCTACAGTACGGTGTACAATTGACCGACTGAACTGAGCTAATGTCATCGTGTTGTGAAAACGCACCCTGTTCGAAAAACAGAAACACTCACAGTAGAGATAAAAGGTAGTCATGTTGATTGACCATCGACAGCAAACGGAATTAACTGAAACATGCGTAAGATTGAAAACGGGAATGGGAGAGTCGACGACACTCGACAAAAATGTACGACGAATGAATCCGGGGTGGGGTGGGGGATGGGAAAGACGACCAACGGCCATAAGCGCGCTGGGGAAAGGGGAAAGCGGTGTTTCCTAAGTGTTGAACTGGAAAACAAGGAGGGCAGACACACCCATACACGATGATTAAGCAAACGTGAAGAGTCCGGTCCCCACGGAATAGTAGAATGGAAAGTGTGCATTGGATGAGGAAAGCGGGCAGTAAGCGAGCAATAATATCACAGCAACAAGAGCGCACAGCAGTAGATTAAGAGGCGCTGCGCCGAAAACGAACAGAAAGAGAGCCGCACTATGGAGAAATGCCACAACAGAGGACAGAGGATGTGCGTAACTGCTGACAATTAGGTGTCCGAAGAGGTATCTCTAGTATTCAGCTCCGTGTCGACTAGTGCGGTTGACTCACGTGTTTCAGAGGGAAGTAGCGCCGCTGTCGACATATCAGGTGTTTCGGTGGAATCAGCCGGTTCAACTGGACTTGGTTCGGGTGGCGCATCAGAGGTATTGATGCCGCTGGATTCCAAGGTGTCCACTTGCACTGCAAAATTTGAAGAATCGTGGAGAGGAGAGGCGCGCAACTGATGATTAGACGGAGACCGAACCAAATGAGGAGGAAGAGGATCGACCACAGCCTGTTCAAGTCCGGTGGTCAAATCACTAACCGATTTGCTCTTGACACACTGAAAGTCAACATGACGCGATTTGTTCTCCTCTTCCTCCCACGACATACGCAGGAATGGACATTGGATGTAGTTGTAGATCGCCTCTGGCCGAACACCTGGACGGAACTTCACCCGGTCTTTCGAAGTCGGATAGCCTTCAATACCTATGCGTATTTTCTTGAGGCCACGTTCCAATAACACTTGTTTGGCCACTTCACGATTCTCGATGTATTTGAGAAAGCGGAACATCTGTGTGCTATAGATGATATGTGAACGAAGCTCATTCTCTGGCATCTGTGGCGGATAGTCCGGATCCCAGTCGATGATCTCATCATCCGTGACAACAACCACATGACACTCGCGCTCCCCTTTCCTAGCGCATTTAACCAACAAAGAGAGAATGTGGGCCTCCAGAAAGCGTTCGAACATGGCATGTGCTCCGTCGTTGGATAGTTCGTGAAGAAAGGCACGTAGGTTGCTACATCGGACGGTGTGGTGGTTGAATGGGATGAGGAAGTAGTCACAAGCCTCTTTCAGCTCTTGTACAGAGACTCCGGGAGGACAGGACATATAACCGACAAGGTAGTAGTCCAGTATGGCACGGAACAACTGAGCAGAAATGTTGGAATGCGGAGCCAGCACCACATCGGGTGCGACTCGTGCACGGCATGATTCGCTGTCCCAAGTCGTGGCGGCGGCGGTGGCGGTCGTGGAGGAGGAAGACGCACGTGCCAAGTGATCCCCATCAGGATGATCCTCCGGGCAAGCGGACCGAGAAGAACGAGACCAACGAAGCCGTGACGCTTCCGCGAACTGGGAGCTGAGCATGCGACCCAGCATGGTGTCCGGATAGGCTTGCAGTCGTTTCGCATCGATCACAAAACGTACGTTGTCCACTACCAGACTGACGCGTGGGGAAGCGTTTCCAGTTAGAGGGCTAAGGGGAAAAGGTAGAAAGAAGTGGTGAACAATGGTATGAACGGGAAAAAGTCACAATTTCGTAGCAGTACAAAGATGGGTGAATCGAACTAGGTGACGGAAAAAAAACAATGAAAGCTATATGAGAGAAAGAATGGTCTCCGATTGGTGTCGCGTGGATAATAACAGATAAATATGTTTGTGTTGTGAGTTTCGTTGTCCAGTCACCTACTGCTTAGCCTCCCGTCCAACCACGATCTCACTCCTGAAGCATGACACAACTAGATGGAAACTGGGTGCTGCCCGCCCAAAAACACTGCACAACCACGACGCGTTTCGATGTCATTTCATCTCATAAGGTGGAGATAGCAGGCCTCGAACCCGCGACCATTAGAATAGTGGCCGAAACATCTACCCCTTTGGCTACGGGGTCACGGCGAGCAACGCTTGGCACAACCGTAATGACTAATTGGAGAGTCAAGTTTGGACTACACGTTGTGTGATTGGATTGCGACGCGCAATCTCAAAGTGGACCGCGGCTCACATTGAAGTGAACCCTAGTCACGGCGATCACTTGGACCGTAGTCAAAGCAGATGGAAATTGGGTGCTGCCCGCCCAAAAACACTGCACAACCACGACGCGTTTCGATGTAATTTCATCTCATCAAGTGGGGATAGCAGGCGTCGTGGTTGTGCAGTGTTTTCGGGCGGGCAGTACCCAATTTCCATCTGCTTTGACTACGGTCCCAGTGATCGCAGTGACTAAGGTTCACTTCAATGTGAGCCGCTCTCCACTTTGAGATTGCGCGTCGCAATCTAATCACACAACGTGTATTCCGAAATTGACCCTCCATGACACAACTACTTTTGGCGACACAATGTCTATCCGTTACTGATGGCACAGCTGGCATGCCTGTGTTGCGTGCTTTTTCCTTCCTCGTGTATTGAGGCACAACAGGTGTGCTTCGTATCCTTGGCTAACGTGTATAATTAAGATGATGATGAAAGTAGATAGGAAACAAACAAAATTGTCGGAGAAATTAGGGAACAGACCTAGTAGCAGTAATGACTTGATGAACGAGCCATATTCGACAGGACATTCAACCAGACCCAAGGTGCCAATATTCGGGCAACATAAGCGAACCAGAGCCCGGCTCGTACTTACGGTGCATTTTCTCATGCTCTTGTGTCACCATCGACTGGAGACCTCCAAGGCTCATTCAAGTAGGTACAATCTTGGCAAACACTGTACATGGAAGCAGTTGGTGTACAAGTATGCTGTGTACATAATGGAGCTGATGGAGTCGATTGCAGTACAAAAAACGTTTCCTTCCATCACGGCACCAGAGAGCATGGCGCCAAACGCCAAATGACGGTTCAGTCATCAGATACGAGCAACATATCACATGCAACCGTGGTCAAACGCACACAATTTGCGAATGCTCTCAGCGTGCAGCACAACACAGGCAGTGCACAGCAGTGATATGAAACTATCTGTTAAGTAATATGTTTACATCCAGCCATATCCATTGGTGACCAAAGTTTCGAAAAGCCCCACGAGTCGCAGTAACATGGACAGTGGTGCATTTGAGTATGTAAACCGCAGGAAACTGTGTACCTTTACCTAGGTATGTAAACTGATAGACAACCCCCAACGGTTGTTCGGTGATGGGTACAACGGACCGTAAATCGGCCCAATTCTGTGACCTTAACTCGCACTTTGAAAGTGCGAAATACACACCAAATCGATGCACAGCACCACCTATCTATTCGGTGGCACTTGTATATCAGCGATCGATGTTATCCGCATACACTGTAGGCTTGACAATAGGTCAATAAACAAAATATCAGCAGGAATTTAAAACCATTCCGAACACAGGGTGGAAGAGAAATAGGGAGATGTGGTAATCTTGACGCATGGAAAACATCTCAAAGACCCTAATATGATCAAGGGAGTCTGAGGACAAAAAGGGCAAAACAGAAAAATTGCTTCGGTATACCGCTCGAGGCACGACATAGCCACAAACATCATCATCATCATCATTATACATGTCAGCTAGAGATGGTAAAACACCTCCGCTATTGTACCGCAATACATAAAGGAAATACATACATACATACAATACATAAAGGAAAAATAAATACGACAGTTGAATGCCAGCTGAGCTACCAGCAACGGATACGCATCGTTCCGGTAAGCTACTAGCCGGCTACTAGGCAAAACCAAAAATTTAATTACGTTTTACCCTACGAAATAAGATCGTAGATGGAGGGGGAGGCTAAAGGGATGGGGAGGGACAAAGAAACTCACAGCAGGAACGCCATTGAGGTCGGCTCCTTGCCATATCAGCAAGTGTATCCAGCCAAACGTGTTCACCGTCTTTTGGACCCCAACCAGGGAGCCGTGAAGCTCCAACTGAGGCCAGCTCCGAAGTGAGGGCCTTCATTCCTCTGGACCAAGTCATCGCTTGGCCACCTCTCCTCTTCTTCCACCCACATCCCCGGTGAGCAAACAACGCACGTCGAAGGAGTCGGTGGGCTGGCATGCGCAACACGTGGCCCAGCCATCGGAGCCTGGTGAGTGAAATGACGGTGCTGAGCGGTTCATTCCCTTTTCCTAGGCCGTAAACAAGGCGTCGAACACGCTCGTTACTCACGCGGTGTTCCCACCAGATGTGAGCCAAACTGCGAAGGCACCGATGGTCGAACGTAAGTAGCCTCTTCATGTCCGCCGATCTTAGGGGCCAGGTTTCGCAACCGTACAGTAAGGTCGAACGTACCGCTGCATTGTACACTCTACCCTTCAGGGCGAGAGTAATGTCGCGCCGCCGCCATAGGTGGCGAAGGTTAGCAAAAGCACTTCGAGCTTTCGCTATGCGGTTCGTGATCTCGTCTTCGATCCCAAGGGCGCTGATACAACTTCCCAGGTAATTGAATTTCTGAACGACTTCTAGCTGATCCCCACCAAGGGTCAGCACAGGGGGCGAACCCTGCCAATCCTGGAGGAACGCTTTGCACTTCGGTGGTGCAAAGCAAAGCCCGAAGCGACTGACAGCCAGTGCTAATCTGTCCAGCGCGGATTGACACGTCTGGGAGCTGTCACAGATGAGGGCAATGTCGTCTGCATACTCCAAGTCAAGAAGTCGTTCTCCTGGGAGTAGCTCCACACCTTCCAAGTCATGTCCTGTAAATGCAATCTCCATGACTTCGTCAATAGCGAAGTTGAATAGGAAAGGTGACAGCGGGCATTCTTGTCTCACACCGCTGGAGATATTGAAGGGTGGCGACAGCCTGCTGTAAGCCCTTACTCTGCCCGTGCTACGCGCATATAATGCTTGGATAATATTTACATATTTCTCGGGCACACCTTTCCTGAGTAGACAATTCCAAAGCGCACATCGATCAACCGAATCGAAGGCACCTTTGATGTCGAGGAACACGACTACGGTGGGCCGCCAATATGTGTGACGGTGCTCCAACAACTGACGCAAGGTGAAGATGTGGTCGATGCAGCCACGACCCCGACGAAACCCGGCTTGCTCCTCACGAATCTGGCTTTCACGAGCGCCAGTCAGTCTGTGGAGAATTATGGACGCGAGTAATTTGGAGGCGATGGAGATCAGACTGATTCCTCTATGGTTGCCGCATTCCGAGCGCGAGCCGCCTTTGAAGATGGGAACAATAACGGAGCGGCTCCAGTCGGTTGGGACAGTTTCCTGCTCCCACAGTTTCACTAGTAATTCATGCAAAGCATCAACAAGAGCAGAGCCTCCAAATTTGAAGAGGGCTGGAGGAAGATCATCTGGTCCCGCGGCTTTGTTCAACTTCAACAGTCCGATCTCACGTTCGACTTCTGAGCGAGAGGGTGGATCCAAAGGGACAGCCCACGGAGCGGGGCGATCAGTGACCGGCGAATCGAACAATTCTTGCCGATTAAATTGCTTTTCAAAATGCTCAGCCCAACGCTCCAGACGTTTTGACAAATTGTGGATAGGCTGTCCACTCTCGTCACGTATAGTTTCACTAACACCAGGTCTCCTGCTGCCCGTTTCCCGTATCAGACGGAATAACTTGCGATGGTTGCCAAGGGCAGCGGCCACTTCCATCTCTGACGCACGATGAGACCACCAAGATTCGCGGTCTCTCTTCAGGCTAGCACGGAGTTTTGCCCGGAGCTCTTTGCGAGTTTCATTGTGCTCGCTTCCAGCCGGGATTTGCCGGCGAGCATCTATAAGTTCCAAAGACTGCGAAGAGACCCAATGTCCATGTTGTCTATTAGACATACCACATGAGGATTTGCCTGCTGCTAGTAAGGTCTGGCGAACATGTGACCAGTGACCATCAATTGTCTCCTGTGAGCGCTTGCTCAACTCGCATGTTAGCGTACTTCGATACGCATTCAGAACAGCTGGTTTTGTCAGTTGGCTGGTGTCAATACGCTCACAGCGTCGTCGTGGGCGTCCGCCAAAACGCATCCGCATGTCAGCACATACAAGTGCATGATCGGTGTCCACACATGTGCTCCAAATCGAGCGACAATTCTGGATGCAGCCTCTCCAGCGGTAACTTATCGCAATGTGATCGATCTGCGTCCAAGGCTGGTTCGAGGCTGGTGGGCGCCAAGTCACCCTCCGGCGGGTGCTGTGTCGGAAATTAGTGCTCGCAAGAAATAAGCGAGCATCTTCACACAAATGAAGTAACCGCTCACCGTTATCATTACGGGAGCCTACACCGTGTTGACCGCCCAGATGCAGTTCATCAGTGGACAACTTTCCAACTTGTGCGTTCAGATCCCCCGCCAGCACAACAGTGTCCGTGCTTCTTCTGTGGCGAAGGAGCTGGGTCAGTTGGCGGTAGAAGTCGTTCTTTACCGAATCATCGCTACAGTTTGTGGGCGCATAGGCAGCGATGATGAATAGACATCTATTAGTCCCGCGCGACTTCGAAGCTTTAAACGAGCCAGCCAATCGGACCGCACACATCCGGCTACTGATTGGAATCCAATCAACCAGAGCAGCT